AACCAATATGACACCACCACAGTCAAGGGACTCTACACCAGCAAGACCTGAATGAACATACCGAAACAGATGAAACAAAAGAGAACGACCTTAAAAACAAATTCATGAATATGATAGAGACCCTAAAAGAGGAAATGAGAAAATCCTTTAAAGAAATGGAAGAAAAGACAAACCAAAACTTGCAAGCAACAATTCAAACAGTGCAAGATTTGAAAGATGAAATGGAGACAAAAAAAAAAAAAGTCTGAGGGAATGCTGGAAATAGAAAATCTGGGTAAATGATCATGAACTACAGATGCAAGCATAACCAACAGAATTCAAGAGATCAAAGAGAGAATCTCAGGCACTGAAGATATACTAGGAGACGTAGATTCGCTGACCAAAGAAAATCTTAAGTCCAACAAATCCCTAACACAAAATATCTAGGAAATATGGAACACAGTGAAAAGGCCAAACCTAAGAATAATAGGTATAGAATAAAAGTGAAGAAACCCATCTCGAAGGCACAGAACACAAATTCAACAAAATCATATAAGAAAACTTTCCCAACCTAAAGAAAGATACGCTTATGAAAGTACAAGAAGGTTAAGGATTTGTTGGATTTAAGATTTTCTTTGGTTGATGAATCTATTTCCTCTGGTTTATCTTCAGCACCTGAGTCTCTCTCTTATATTCTGTTGGTTATGCTTGCATCTGTAACAGTTCCTGATCATTTGCCCAGTTTTTCTATTTCCAGCATTCCCTTAGTTTGTGTTTTCTTTATTTGTCTTTATTTATTGTCTCTATTTCAGTTTTCAAGTCTTGAACTGTTTGTTTCCTTCATCTGTTTGTTAGTTTGTTTTTTTTTTTTTTTCTTGGCTTTCCTTACTTTCTTTAAGAGATTTGTTCATTCCAGTTTTTTGTTTGTTTTTTCTTCTATTTCTTTAAGGGATTTTCTCATATTGTCTTTGAGGGCCTCTATCAATTTTATGAAGATATTTTTTTTAAGTCATTCTCTTCTGCTTCATCTGCTTTGGTGTGTTCAGGTCTAGTTGATGTAGAGTCCCTAGATTCTGGTGGTGTCACGCTTTCTCTTTCTATTGTTAGGTGTTTTCTTGTATTGCCATCTTCCCATCGCTTCTTCCAGTGGGTGCAGGTGGAGTCTCTCTATGCTACTCCCCAGGTGAGCTTAGGTGGGTCAGGAGTTTGATGTCTGTAGCTCTGGGTGGTCCAAGCTTTATAGGAGGTTTCTCCTCTGACAGGGGCCCTGCAATAGGGATCAAAGATTAGTCAGGTCAGCCAGTTTAGCTGTAAGTTGCAGGTCCATGAAAGACCTGTCACAACATAACAGTTTACAGCAACTGAGGAAGGACACTTAATTTTGTCCTCTGGTCTCTATATGCACAGGCACACACATGAGTGTACAAATACACACATAATTGTAAACAGTTGTATCTGAGAGTTCAAAAAAGTTGTTAAGACTGCAGATCAGAATTGAAATTCATTCATCTATATATCAATATTTACGCATTAAAACCAAGAATAATCCTGTACAATAGATAAAATAGTGTATCTAGGATTGAGGGGAAAAAAAGCCAGTGCTTAGAGGTTAAGCAGAGAACAAGAAATTAATAAAGTAAACCAAATAGTAAAAAATAAGGTACAGAATAGAGAAATGCAGTTGATTGGGTGTTTTTAAGTCAAAGATTGGGCTAGAGAGATGGCATACCAGCATATACTGCTCTTACAGAGGACCTGAGTTTGGTTTTAGCACAACATGCAGGAGACCACAAAAAAAAAATGAATATGAAAACAGAACCCATCCTGCTGCATACAAGGACACACCTCAACTTCAAAGACAGGCATTACCTCAGAGTAAAGGGTTGGGAAAAAGATTTTCCAATCAAATGGACCAAGAAACAAGCTGGTCTAGCTATCTTAATATGTAACAAATTAGACTTCAAACTAAAATCAATCAAAAGATATGGAGAAAGTCCTTTTATGTTAATCACAGGAAAACTCCATCAGGATGAAGTTTCAGTTCTGAACATCTGTGCCCAAATACAATTGTACCCACATTCATAAAAGAAACAACACTAAAACTCAAATCACACATAAAGCCTCACACACTTATAGTGGGAGACTTCAACACCCACTCTCGCCACTAGACAGGACCATGAGACAGAAACTTAACAAAGAAACAAAAGAACTAACAGAAGTTATATGTCAATTGGGTTTAACAGACATCTATAGAACATCCCATCCAAACACAAAAGAATATATACCTTCTTCTCAGCTCCACATGGAACCTTCTCTAAATTCAACCAAATATTTGGCAACATAGAAAACCTCAACAGATACACACACACACACACACACACACACACAAATTGGAATTGGAATAATATCTTATCAGACCACCATGATTTAAAGTTGGAATTCAACAACAACACAAATTGCAGAAAACCTACAAATTCATGGAAACTGAACAATGCACAACTGCACCATTCCTGGGTCAAGGAAGAAATAAAGAAAGAGATTAAAGATTTCCTAGAATTCAATGAGAATGAAGATACAACATACCCAAACTTATGGGACACTTCGAAAGCAGTGCTAAGTGGAAAGTTTATTGCACTAAGTATCCACATGAAGAAACTGGAGGACAGTCACATTAGAATTAACAGCACAACTGAAAGCCCTAGAACAAAAAGAAGCAAACTCACCCTGGAGAAGTAGACACAAGGAAATAATCAATTTGAGGGCTGAAATCAATAGAGTAGAAACAAATAATCAATGTAACAAAGAGTTGGTTCTTTGAGAAAATCAAAAAGATAGATAAACGTTTATCCAAACTAACCAAAAGGCAGAGAGAGAGAAGATGCAAATTAGTAAAATCAGAAATGAAAAGGGGGGCATAACAACGGACACTGAGGAAATCCAGAGACTCTTTAGGTCATACTTTGAAAACCTGTACTCCACAGAATTGAAACATTCGAAGGAAATGAACAAATTTCTGGATAGGTATCACTTACCAAAACTAAACCAAGAACAGATAAGCAATTTAAATAGACATATAACCCCTAATGAAATAGAAGCAGTCATCAAAATCCCCCAACTAAAAAAAGCCCAGGGCCAGTTGACTTTCTTTCTTACAGTAAAGTAACTTTTTAAAATACACGTATCTTAAGTTGTAATTCATATGCTAATAATTTACCAATGTATATGTCCATCCTGTATGTTACTCCCTCTGACTTAAACATTTTAATGATATCCACTTGTTATTAGCAGAAATGATCTTATTTTCTAAGTGATCTAAGTGTCCGGCATGTTCTGGCCCCTGCCTCACTCCACAGCATGTGTCCCCCAGTATCCATGAATGCCTTTCGTTTCTCTCCACAGGAGTATCTTTCTTCTGTTCACGTTGAGAATGTCTAAGAGGACAGCTTGTCTCACTTAAGTAGCACTTCTCGGGAAGGTTTCTGTTAAGGCTTTTTCCATATTCCTGTTTTCTTGGGAACTAGGAAAACAATATTGCTATCTGCACTTCAGCAACACATGTACACTCTCTCATTTAATATCGACAAATTAATGAATGAGGTAAGTCAGGAGACTGTAGAGATCATCTTACGTTGAGGTCTGCATCACTTACAAATCCATGCCCTCACCAATACTCGCTTTTGCTGCACTGGCACCTGATGTGAAGTAGTTAACACTTTTCTCTAAGGTAGAATTTTAAAGAATGGCCTCATCTTGCATCCTTCTCCACTTTTTCTCAATGGCTTTTCTCTGTCAGACTAAAGGGGATTTTGCTGATACTTGCTAACCACTCATTGCTTGTGCGGTTACCAAGGTCCTAACTGATATAAAACTATAATTTGTTCTATTATCTAATATCCTCCAAAATCTCTTCCCCCAGAATAAAGATTTCAGTAGCAGGTGCTCCAAGATAGCCTACAACCATTTTGAATCCCTAGCCAGTTCTTCTAAGTTAGGAACCATTGATGAACTCATTGATTCTAATAGTTCAGTTTCAACCTATAGTTGGTGAGAAGAATGTTTTCTTTTTTATTTAAATTTGTTTAATATATTATATTTTCATTTTCTCCTCCCCAGCTCCTTAAGATCCTTCCTACCTTCCTAGCCACCCAACTTTAAGTTCCTGCTCTCTCTCTCTCTCTCTCTCTCTCTCTCTCTCTCTCTCTCTCTCTCTCTCTCTCTCAAAATAAAGCAAAACAAACAAAGTTCACCAAAAGAATGGTGGAGTTTGTTTTGTGTTAACCAACTACTCCTAGGCATGGAACTTGCACTGGAATGTAGATGAAATTTTATTGAGTTTTTTTTTTTTTTAAGTGAACACCCTATTATTTTAAAAGAAGGGAAGATACTACATTGAAAGCAACCTTCAAACTCCAATGTAGATATTTTATCAGGCAGTAGTCTAAAATAATATGAACACTTGTCAAGTTCATTTATCTCAGAAAAAAAAAAATCACCCAGTTCCATTTTAGAAAAATCCAAGTTAGTTAAAATGGAGGACCTCGTTCAACATTTAGCAGGACCCTCTAAATGCAGGAGATGAAAGGAACAAGCCTATTCTTAGAGGTTATGTAAATCCAGGGCTTACTATTTTCTGTAGCAGTTTTCATAACACATCTATTCTTCCTGGATAGAAAATAAATATAGAATATAGACTTTTTCAAGGCTTATGAGCTATACCTGGTACCTATCTGCTTTGTTAATCCCAAACCCATACTTCATTCACAATCTAATCTTCTGATTCTGCTTTTTACACTGTTACCTACTCTTGTACTCACATGTGAAACTCAACAGTACACCTGACTATCTGAGAGTACAAGCCTGTACCACCTAGCCAGGCTCACTGAGACCATTTAAAGAGAAAGGTTGCAGCAATCTCTGTCTATGAATGAAGGGTGGAATAAACGATGGACATATAAAAATATTCAGATTGAGATGGTTAGAGAAGCTACATTAGGAACTGTGGATGTAAAAACAGTGTGGGGATTGTTTTGTCACAACATATACCAAAATTGGAATAATACAGAGAAAATCAGCCTGGCCCCTTTGTAAAGATAATATGCAAATTCACAGAGTGTTCAAAAGAAAATGAAATAAACCTTGCTGTGCCTGAGAAAGCCATACATGTACCCAGGTTTGGGTACTTGCTAAATTAGGCCCATTGGGATCCAGAGAGTTCACTTTCACGTGACCTTCAGGCTGTGTTCAATAGCAAGAGAAATGTAAAGCAGAGTTGCAAATGACCTAAGTCTTGAAAATATGTCCCAAATGGAACAGAAGTCCACCAGTTGGTGAACAAATAAACTATGGTGCACTCATACTGTTGGAGGAATAAAAATCCCTGGTCGCAATGCAACAGCAAGAGAAGATTCTGAAAAACAAAATGTCCACAGACCTCAGAACATGATTCATCATATATCTCCTCAGTAGGGAGCACCAACCTGGAGTCACTGGGATGTATCCACTTAACATTATGTGTATGAAGTGCATACTTCATAACAATTCATGGACTCTTGTCACAATAGGAAGGGCATTTCCAGACTCTGGAGAACAAATGTGTTCTGCCTAGCATTCTGCTCATGCAGCAAAACCAGCCATTAGTTGGTATAAATTTTATCATTTTACATTTACAATTACTATAACAAAAGTTTAAGTCCACGATGGAAAATTGTGAATAAATGATACATTATTAAGCGACATCAGAGTACTTCTGGAACTTGGGGGTGGTTGAGGACAGATATTTAAAAGACGTACCTTTCCACTCTTGGGTGTATACCTAAATGATCCACATCCATGTAAAAAGGACATCTGTTCAACTATGTTCAGAGCAGCATTATATATAATAGCCAGAACCTGGAAGCAGCCTAGATGCCCCTCAGTTGAAGAGAGAGAGGAGTGATGAGCAAAGGGGTCAAGACCAGGCTGGAGAAACCCACAGAAACAGCTGACCTGAACAAGGGGGAACTCATGGTCTCCAGACTGACAGCTTGGAAACCAGCATAGGACTGACCCAGGTCCCCTGCACGTGGGTGTCAGTTAGGAGGCCTGGGCGGTCTATGGGGCCTCTGGTCATGGAACAGCATTTATCCCTAGTGTACGAATGGACATTGGGAGCCCATTCCCCATAGAGCGATACTCTCTCCGCCTAGACACACAGGGGAGGCCCTGCCCCAAATGATGTGACAGACTTAGATGATCCCCCATAGCAGGCCTCACCCTTTCTATGGAGCAGAAGAGGGATGGGATGGGGTCACTGGGGAGCATGGGAAAATGGGAAGGAGAAGGAACTGGGATTGATATATAAAATAAGAATGTTTCTAATTTAAATAAAAAATGGGGAGAAGTATCTTATTTTTACTATTTTATAATTTGGTTTGTGTGTGTGTGTGTGTGTGTGTGTGTGTTTCAGTCCTTTGAAAGAATCTACGCGTTAAACTTCCTTCTTAATTACCATAAATATGAGTGGTCCTCCAGCATGGTCTGCTTATGTTTCAATGTGCGTATTTACTGTTTTATGAAACCACAGTGGCTCCGTCATCTTTCTTCTTCTGTGAGGGCTGCTTGCAGGTTCTGCACATGCAGAGAAGGCATTTGTGCTGAGCTGTAAAACTTTGTCTGAGGATGTAAAATATTAGTTAAGCGATACCCTGCAGATGACAATGACAGTCACCCATTATGATACATTCATTTAGCATGCCTTACGACATAACTTTATAACATACTTGATGGCAAAGACTTCTATTTAAGCCTGTACTAAATTGCCACAATACCAGTCTAGCTTTGCAGCCATGGTCTCTCTTAGAGAACTGATATGGTTATTCTGTTTTCCCAAAGCCAAGATCATACTAACTGAATATCTGAAAGTAGATATTTAAATGCAATGATCTCTTTCATCTTACTCTTTTGACAAAGAATAAAACATAGATCTTTCTGAAGTATGTAGCCATAAGTGACTTTCCTCCGGTGGAACCAATATCACATTAAACAAAGGATATGGCCACAGTACACACAACTTTCCTTGGATACCACTAGAGATTTGGGCAGTCACTATTCTTTCCTCTTGGGTCCTGGGAGTGATGCCAAGAAGATCTTGATGCCGTATAAAGTCCTCAGGAGAACAAAGACATTCACAGCTTGGCGTGCCCTAGTGTCCAGAACAGCTCTCTCCAGAAGGCAATGGGATCTCCAGCCCCACAATGCTGGAAGATCCAGCCTGGTGCCACTCTGGACAGACATGAGGTCTTAGTGTCTGGAGATATCCCCTCATATAACCCTGGCCATCTGCTGGAAAGCAGTGGGGTAATCTGTGCCCATTGGGTTCTTCTAAGTTTAGGGAGTGGGTTCCTCGTATCTACCCAATACCTGAATCTTTACTTTGTACTTCTTCCTATTTTAGAATCAGTGAGGAATTTCTTTTCACATTCTACCCCATCAGAAGCTTCTAAGTCAAGGTAAGTGATCCCTTTAGCAGCATCCATAATATATGCGCAACTCTTAGGAGCAATGGTATTCAAACTCTAAATGTTTTGTGCCTTTCCTTTACATCCACAATGATATTCTCATTTTCTGAATCCTGTGTGCGGATAATCATGCAATGAACCAAGGGAATGGGCCTCTCTTGTTGCCTTTTGAAGGATATTTCCTGTTGTTGGATCATAAATAAATACCCCCAAAAGTATGGCCACCACCTTCAGATTCCTTCATGCTCCCAGACTCTCTGTGCTCTGTGGTCGTTTTTATATAAGCAAGTAGATCTTGATATGGCTTATAAAGACAGCACCGACTATGTTCATCTCAGTCTCTTTAACAATAAATCATCAGCTAGCGATCCTGCTCACTCTTGTTTGTGTTACAAGTGTCTGGCACGAGGATGACTTCTAGCTTGTCCATCAACTTAATAATCTTGTCCCACCCAGTACCATCATCCTCTGTTCATCACTTACTGTTCTTGCTTCAGGGTGGCTCTTCAACCCCTTATACTGTGTATGGAGCTCTCATGGTCTGTGTCCTCAAAGTCCCCCCACCCACCACACATGCCTTTTCAATATTTTCGCTCTCACTTTGTCAGACACACAACCGCTGGGATGTTATGTTGCTCTGTTCTGACCTCTGTGCCTTTTTTCTTCTGAGTCATTTGCTTGCAATGCCTCAGCCTCTCCCTGATATGTCTCAGGACATAGTCAGTGCCTACCTTATCTCTGTCACACACGACACACTTCTTTGTCTGTTCCTTTCTGCTGTGTGTGTCTTAGGTAAAACATCTTCTTGTGTCATGTGACTATTGCTGTTCCAGTGGCCTGTGCTTATAACAAAATTGCAGGAGGACTAGAGAACAGTTATTAAAAGAATCGTAAATTTCAAGTATTTAAAAGTAGTGATGAGACCAAAATCTGACTTTCTTTGTCTGTGGGAGAGTGAGCCTAGTGGCTGATGTTGTGGCTCAGACAGACGTGGGCTTCAGTATAATTCTGACTGTATCCCTCTTTAACTAGAAACGTTACTTTATGTGCCTGAGCTACAGCACCTATCCTGGATAATTAGAGTAACCGTGTCTCATTAACATTATTTTACGGGTTAAATGCTGCATTTTATGAATAATAGTAAGCAAACTTCCTGGTACCTAGTGAAGGCTCCCTGGTTTATTCTTAGAAGATGTAGGGGAGTATTGATGCTCATCAAATATAGAAAGTTTTCATCCATTTCCATCTCTTTGATTATAGGGAAAACACCCACAAAAGCCCCAAAATTTTCCTGTTAATAAATGACAATGCATCCGTCTGATAGCTGTTTGTGATTTCTCCTTGATCTCCCCACCCCCACCCCCGCAAACTTCTATACCCAAATCCACCGATTTCTGTTGAAGTTTCTACCACCAAAATGGATCTTAAAATCATTTTTGTCAATACTGTCTTTGAGGTCACTGGCCCCCTCTCTTAAAGCCTGTGTCTTGCTCCTGTCTCCAGGAAGTTCACTTTGAAATGACAGTTACTTTTCCATGACACAATAATGCCTGGCCGTTTAACCTTCTGCTTGCCTCACTTGGCATTCGGGCCACTCTCTAGATCTTCTTTGAGCTTCAGGGTCTTGTCTACTGGATCACATCTACCTTCTCCTCCTAGCTCTTCTTCTATCTACACAGTGTAGCAATAAGGGTCTCATTTTAGCTTGGGTCTCCTTCACCTGAGATCTTCAAAGAGCTCGCCCTGGAATCCTCTGCTCAAACATCACGGCCTCAGAGTCAGAGGGACATACATCCCATTCCAGATCACATGTTGCTACTTCCTGGCTCTTAATCTTTATTTAAAGTATCTAAAATTCTATGATACATTTCCATTTTAGCTTAGTAATTACCCCCCCCCCCAGAAACTCTATCTCCATCCTCAGAAACTGAAAGCCCACTGACCAGGAGCCCTCCTTTCTAGTTCTCGCCACTTACTTACATTGCAGCAGCTACACCTCCCTGGAATTGACCTAGATTCATCTTTACCACCTCAATATGAAGCAAGAGCCACTCCACACTCGTAATCATTTACAGATCATATAAAACCGCCACTTGCTTGATTTCAATTTCATTTTAACCCATGGTGACACCCACTGAATACATATTAATATGTGTATCACACAAGAAAGGGAAATGGGTTTCAGAGAAGGTATGGTTCCAAGGACATAGCAACTCCAAGTAAGGCTTAGGGGGCGAATGAAGCCCAGGGATTTCACGGGGATGAACTTGACTCTCCTCCCTACGCCTCCTGATCACATGCAGCTCAGATTGTGACAGGTGCCAGAAGGAACGAGAAAAGAAGCAGGTGACGTGTGTGTGAAGGTCGCCCGGCTGCAAGGAAGAACTTCCAGAACTGTGAGCAGAGCAGAGAACAGTAGGGCCAGTGTGATGTTTGGAAGCCAGCAGCTGTAACAAAAAGGGGGGCTTTGCTAGTTTATGTTGGGGGTATTTGTGGGGCAATGCAGGGTATCAGACAGCACATGGCTTCAGGCTTGGACTCAAATGCAACCCTTGCCCTCCCGTCAATGAGAACATAGAATGTACTTAATATCTCTCTAGTAAAACATCATCAAAATGAATGTAACAGGGTATAGGGAACGATGCTATGTGGGAAACTGAGACAGAGTCTGATAACTGTGTCACATGCATCTATCTGATGTGCCATAAGCTGTTACTAACCAAAAGTTACTGGTATTGGTCCTCAAGGAGGGCAGGCAGGGATGAAGACTCTGATCAAGCGATTCTTTTCTCTCAGAAGAAGAGCTAGCTCCCGCGTGTTCGCTATGGATCTGGAGAACCAGACACGGGTCACCAAGTTCATCCTGGTGGGGTTTCCTGGGAGCTTGAGCATGCGGGCAGCAGTGTTCCTGATGTTTCTAGTGGCCTATATCCTGACCGTAGCTGAGAACGTGATCATCATCCTGTTAGTGCAGCAGAACCGGTCACTGCACAAGCCTATGTACTTCTTTCTGGCCAACCTGTCTTTCCTGGAGACCTGGTACATCTCTGTGACTGTGCCCAAGCTGCTGTTCAGCTTCTGGTCCAGGAGCAACAGCATCTCCTTCACCCACTGTATGATACAGCTCTACTTCTTCATCGCACTGATGTGCACGGAATGCGTTCTCCTGGCCGCCATGGCCTATGACCGCTACGTGGCCATTTGCCGCCCGCTGCACTACCCCACCATCATGAGCCACGGGCTCTGTTTCCGCCTGGCTCTTGGCTCCTGGGCCATTGGCTTTGGCATCTCTTTGGCAAAGATCTACTTCATCTCTCGCCTCAGCTTCTGTGGCCCCAATGTCATCAACCACTTCTTCTGCGACATCTCCCCAGTACTTAATCTCTCCTGCACGGACATGTCTGTGGCAGAGCTGGTGGACTTTGTCTTGGCTCTGATCATCTTCCTCTTCCCCCTGTCAATAACCGTCTTGTCGTACGGGTGCATTCTGGCCACTGTGTTGCGCATGCCGACGGGGAAGCAAAAAGCCCTTTCCACCTGTGCTTCTCACTTCGTGGTGGTCACCATCTTCTACTCGGCCACCATTTTCATGTATGCCCGGCCCCGAGCTATTCATGCCTTCAACATGAACAAAGTCATTTCCATCTTCTATGCCATTGTGACGCCAGCCTTCAATCCTTTCATTTACTGTCTGAGGAATCGGGAGGTCAAAGAAGCTCTGAAGAAACTGATGTACTGCCAGGCAATTAGATCGGACTAGGCTGTTTTTGTGACTGGTTGGAAAGGAAAGGCTGTCTTCTCTGTCTTCCTATATCCTTCTCTTCCAATGTCCCAGCTCAGGACTGATGATGCTGATACGATATCGCCGTTGCCCACATCTGTATGTCTTGGGCATCTGTATGTATTTACCCGTGAGAACTGTGCTCTGAGGACATACACAATATGTGGACGTCTATAAAGAAACGTAATTGTCTTTGACATGTTATAAACATGGAGTTCGTAAAAATGTAGATAATTAAGCTAAATGTAGATAGGTGTGCTATGGTATTGCGTGGCTTGCCCTGAGTCGGGTCCTGTGAACACCAACAATTCTGAGGTTAATGATTGTGTGGTGTCCTGCTTTCCCACTTAAGTGACTTCTTCGACAATCCCATCTTCTATGTGCTTGGGATCAGTGTTGATGTCAGAGGCTAGAAGGCTGACCCTCAGATCCTTCCAGAACCTTTCCCCAGCACTGCCTTACCCATGTAAGTACACTACCTTTGTACAGGAGAGTGATTTGATGAATCTATGAGTTGATTGATAGTATATAATCGTATCTTACAGTCTGATACATGCATACAATTGCTATTTCTTGAAGTCCATTTTCCCTTCAGAACATTTGTTTATATCCGCTGATAGATGAATGTAAAGTTGATGATGAATAAATCTTAAACATATTCAACGCAGGTCAACTAGTCTAATACCCTCCCCCCTCCCCCCCCTCCAAACCCAGTATTTTCTCATTCATCATCTTTCTTTTCTTGGCTTTTCCTTTTACCACTTGTACACAGAAACAAATAACTGCACACTTTTAATGATTGACATGGATTTTCTTTCTGTGACACAGTGATACTTAGCTCACTTTATCTGACATCCTACACAAATCCTTTTTGATTAGCTCTATAGACATGCTGTTTCACTGTCTTGCGGATGGCAAAGTGAGTTCTACGGTAAGCTACATTCAACATACTGGCTCCAGAGGTCAGAATCAAATTTTCCTTACAAGCAGTTTTAAACAGGAATATTCATTACACCTGTTACAACTTCTGCCTAAGTGCAAAAAAAAGAAAAAAAAAAAAACAACTTTGAAAGTAAGGAGTATTTAGATGGGATTACCTCCTCATTTTACAAACATACATAACAGATATTCAAGGAAGTAAATAGTATTTTCCCCCAGAATATTGAGGAGTAAAGGTCGCAAGTCCAGGTTGCTTGGTTCTGAGCCCTGGGTCCTTCCTGTAGTGCCCGGGTCTCCCAAAGGAAAACATGTTTCTTCAGAGGCCAGGTGTGCAGAAGCTAATTGCAAAGGGACTGAGCAGATAATGAACTTCTACAGCAGTAGACAGCCAATAAAATATACTGGACAAATGTGAAGCCCAGATCTTAGAAAATGCAAGAAACAAAGAGAAATAAACACATATTTCACTTTAGGAAATAAATGTACAAAAGAAAATAGTGCTTATACAGAAATGGTTTAATGTCTGCTGTTGGGTGAATTTCCTTTCCTTGCTCAATAAAATACTTTAAACCTCAAGTACATAAAAGAAATTATTTCCTGAATAATTCACATTAATCAAACTATCGTGGTACATCCGCAGGGAATATTAAGTGCGTGTCTGAAACATAGGCAAAAAACTTCTATAGAGATCAGAAAGTCAAACTGGAACAAAACAATAAAAGTTTTTTGCTCTGGATATTTTTATTATTTTTTTTTGTACCATGAGGCCTGAGAAGAACTGTTTATATTTTCTGGAACACTGATTCCTTATATGCAAAGCAGGAATAATTATACTTGCTCTGCTTAGCTTGAACAATGGTTATGAGGCTCAGCTAATATGACCTAAAGGCCTTGACTATGCAGTGCCTGGAAAAGTCTAAGGTCTGAACAAAGTGTCCCTTAATTAGAGCTTGCATGGAGAAATGACCAAGAAGGGGTGTGTTCTTTCACCTGTCGAAAAATTACCCTATAGTGACTGATTATGTCCATAAACATAATCTGGAAGATAAAAAATACAAGGGAGTTATCTGTCTGTTTATGATTTCCATAATGTTTGAGTAATAGAGAGGGTACGACGGGGTGAGTTTTGGAGTGTAAACGTTATTAAACTGTGTCGTGAAGAACAAATGAGAATTAGTAATGCATCCTTGGCCTCTTTGTGAGAAGAATCTTTAAGGGCACAGAAGAAAACGACAGGGTATACTTCAGAGTATTGCAGGAATCTGCCTCAACAGAAAGAGTACAACTCTTGGCAGTTTAATAGGAAAATTCTGACAAAACAAGCTATTTGTAATATGTGACACCGTATTTTTTTTTATCTTTAATGCTATTATGACCCCCCAGCCCAGTAAAGCTGAAGTCTTCTTGTGTTTCTAGAGTTGGTCTGGCTCCCAGTAAAGCCTGCGTCTTCTTTAGGTAACTAGGAGCAGCATGGCCTCTGGTAGAGCTGCTGGTGTGGACTGTGTCTGTGTCTATGGAGTCTGCTGTGTTCTCAGGAAAGGTTGACCATAGGGAGGATGACAAAGTGGCGGGGCTTGGGTGGTGATGTGGGTCTCGCTAAAGTAGAATCCAGGGGAGGCAAACGTCCATTCGGTAAGTGGATCGCTCGTCTGCTTGCTGCACCAGAACACTGGGGTACCTCCTTCCTCTGGAGTTGAGGGCAGGGCCCAGCAGTGGTGCTGATGCTGACGTGGGATGGGATGGGCTATAGGGCATGAGGGTAGGGTCACTTACCGGTTGTGGCTGGTGTGGAACTTTCCCAGGATTAGGAGCAAGGCCCAGCAGCAGCAGCAGCAGGGCCAAGGGTGAGCTGGGATGGCATGAGCCTGGGAAAGGGTTTGGGAGGAAAGAGTGGGTTACAGTTCTGCAGGCAGATGGGTTACTCACCCTTTCTGGCTTGTGTGGCCTGGGCCTACTTGACAGAAGTCTTCTGGGGTTGGGGGCAGGACCCAACAGAGGGGCCAAGGATATGCTGGGATGGCATGGGCCTGGGGAAAGGTCCCAAGGGACAGAATCCTGGAAGGGGTGCAGTTCTGCTGGTAGGTGAGTCACTCACCCGTTTTGGCTGGCGCGGTCTGGTGGATGTCATACTATAAATGCAAAGGGCATGTAAGGTAGAAAGAGAGAAAAACATAAATAAAATGAAAAAATAAAAACCCAAAATACGATAAAATGGGGACAGACGTGACAACGTTCTGGTGTGAGGTTGTAAGACAAGAAAACTTCAAAGATGCCCTCGACTCCATTTTCTCTTGGTCATCTACTGCTGGGCATGAAGACTGCCCTTAATGTAGCTTGTTTCCCCAGTGAGACTCCAGTGGTTATCAGTTGAAGGTTGGGTCTCGGTTGCAATGGGGGCATGCACACTCTTCCCTTTTCAACTCTAGAACCCTAGCTGGTGCAGACCTGTGCAGGCCCTGTGCATCCTCCCTCAGTTGCTGTAATTTCATATGTGAACCTGTCCTTCTGTGCTTACAAATCCTGTTTCCTGGTTCCCCCATTCTTTCAGGCTCTTCCTGCCTCCTCTTTCTTGGAGTTCCCTGATCTCTGAGGGGAGGGATTTGGTGGTGACACCTCCTTAGGATGAGTGTTCCAAAGCCTTCCGCTCACATACTGTTTGGCGTTGGGTCTCTGTATTTGTTCCCAGCTGCTACAGGAGGAAGCTTCTGGATGGCTGAGCAAGGCAATGATCTACAACAGAATGTCATTAGGAGTCATTTTATTGATACATTCCTTTGGAAGAACAATAGTGTTTGGTTTTATCCTAGGTTCCCGGACTATCTATTCTCAGGTTCTTTGTCATCCAAGGACAGCAGTCATGGGTATGGGTTCAATCCTGTGGAATGGAAATTAAGTCGAATAGTATATAAGTTTGTGATTCCTACAAGCCTTGTGCCACCACTGAACTAACATATCAAATAGGCAGAACTCCCTTGTAGATCAAAGGCTTTATGGCTGGATTGGTTTTTACATTTCTCCTTTGGTAGCATGTTGAGTCCCTTCCTATACCAAAGACACTAGAACACAGGGGTCAAAGCTCTACGTGGTCAACAGCTAGACTTCTACATGTTCGGTGAGTTGTGTAGGTGGTGTTTTCAGTAATGGGTCCCTGCTTCAATTTTTGTATAACAACCTATTGTCATGGAAACGCGCTGGGTTGTTTGGTGATTCCCATTGGATCCCTATGCCCTGAACAACTCCATTAGATGGAACCCATTCCAGACCCTAGAAACATCATTTAGTGACAAGGGATGCCCAGTTAAGACTCTGCCTCTTCCATTATTTGAGTTTTACTTAAATCGTCTCTCTCTCTCTCTCTCTCTCTCTCTCTCTCTCTCTCTCTCTCTCTCTCTGTGTGTGTGTGTGTGTGTGTGTGTGTGTTAGCTTATATTGTATTAGGTTTCCATACTACCCCTTAAATACCCCTTAATTTTAGCTGTGTCGCCACATATTCCCTCCCTCATTCCCCTATTCCCTCTACTTTCGCATCGGATCTCCCATTCCAACACACACACACACACACACACACACACACACACACACACCTATCTATTCCATTTCCCTTCATTTTCCTTTCCTATGAAGTTCTATCTGTCCTCCACTAGTCCCTTCTATACTTAACCTCTTGTTCTATGGATGATTCTAGCTTGGTTATCATTGACTGAATAGCTAATATCCAAATAGACATGAATATATACCATATTTGTTATTCTGGGTCTGGGTTATCTCACTCAGAATGATTTTTTTTTCTAGTTCTATCCACTGACCTGCGAATTTCAATTTATACTAGCTGAGTAATACTCCACAGTGTCAATGTACCCTGTTTCCTTTATCCACTTTCCTGTTGAAGGACATATATATTTGTAATTTCTTGTTATCACGAATAGAGCAGCAATGAACATGGTTAGGCAGATGTCTTTGTGGTATGTTTGAGTTCCCTTTGAGTATATGTCCTAGAGTGGTATAGCTGGATCTCGAGGTAAATCAATTCCTGTCTTCCT